GCAATTAAAAATGGGACTGTTTCCTTAATTTCTCTTTTTGCTACTTTATTACTAGTGTATAGAAATGCAATGTATTTCTGTATATTAATTTTGTATCCCATGACCTTACTGAATTCACTTATCAGTACTACTAGTTTTTTGGTGGAGTCTTTTGGGTCTTTTTCTATATGTAGTGTCATGTTTAGTGAAAGTTTTACTTCTTCTTTACCAATTTGGATGCCTTTTATTTCTTTTTCTTGCCTGATTGCTGTGGCTAGGTCTTCCAGTACTATGTTGAGTAAAAGTGGTGAGAGTGGATGTATTCACTCTTTAATAGCTGTATCATCTGGGTAACTGGTAGTGGTCACTCTCAGGCAAGGCCTATAATCTTCTGTATTTATAAATGTATTTCAGACAGAGAAAAAGGGGATACATGCATCAGGAAATGTGAACTTACCCCGAAATCCTAGTATACTTGCTGTTATATCTCACTGTCCAGAAATAAGCCATATTTCCAGCCCCAGGTACAAGAACATCTGAGAAAATAATGTGTTTCACTTGGTCAGATGGATACACCAAATTAAGTCAGGGTCTGATATCGAGACTGGGTAGGCATGTGGCAGTTTCTGCTGTTACTTATTCAGTTGAGAAAGTTTCCTTCCTAGTTTGCTAATTTTTTTTCAGTGAATGGGGGTTTAATTTGATTGTTTTTTTTTTCTTCAGTATTTCTGGAAATTGATCATTTATTTTTCTCTTTTGTTTTGCTATTGTGCTGAATCACAATAACAGACCTTTCTAATGGTACACACCAGTCTTGATAATAATTATGATACTTTTTTTTTTAATTCTAGTATAATTAACATATAGTGTTATATTAGTTTCAGGTGTATATTCTTGCTTTGTTTTAATATACTGCTGGGCTTTGTTTACTGTATTTTATTTGGGATTTTTTTAATCTATGTGCATAAATAAGAGAGACCTGTAGTTTTTCTTATTCTTATCTAGACCATCCATCTACTTTGGGTTTCAAAATTATACTATCTTCATAAAATTAGTTCGGAAGCTCTCCCTTCCTCTTCTCTGGAACTGTTTGTATATAATGGAGATTTTCTGTTCTCCTGGGAAACCCTCTGGGCCTGATGCGTTGTTTGTGTGCAGGTGATGCTTATATGTAGATTCCTCTCCTAGGGATTTGATTTCTTTTGTTACAGATCTAATCAGATTACCTAATTCTTCTTGAGACCGTTTTGGCTATTGATATTTTTCTAGGATATCATCTACTTGTCTAATTGTTCATTTAGTTGTTTGTAGAATTCTTAGAACTTTTTAATTTCCTGAACCATAGCTGTGTCCCATTTTTTTCCCTTTTTGATCTATTTTGCTTCTCCTAATTTTGCAAGGTTGTCTCTCTTATTAGTCTTTTTTGGGGGGGGGCAGAATCAGCTTTAGTTTTATTTGTCCTCTCAAATTCATCAATTTTCGTCCTTTTATTATATTTCCTTCATTTTACATCCTTCGGTTTCCTTATTTTCTGACTTTATTGCTTAGCTCTTGCTTCTCCATGAGTCTTACTGTCTAATGTATGCATGTAAGATTCCATGATTATTCAGCTCACTAATTAGCACTCTTTGGGTTTATGTGTTCAGAGTTACTAATAATACACTAATTGTCCTTCCTTCCTGCCCATCTCTCTCCATCCGGCCTGTGGAGACATGAGAGATTTGGCAGCTGCCTTGTCAGAATCCAGGTGCACCACCCACAGTGTTTCCTTGGTGTGTTCATCTTCATAATCCTGACGGAGGGTGGTCTGAATTGTCATTAGTCCTCATAATCACTGGCTCATCTTCTAAGCATTCACAAATTATCCTTTTAGCATGTATTCATACACCAGAGGTGCAAAATCTACCTTCTTGATTTGTCAAATACCGACAACAGCCATTCCGATGCCCTATTTTCTTTGCAAAAGCCTTTCTCTGCACACAGATGGAACCCGTTCCAGCCGGCTCGGGGATAGGATTTCTGCTCTCCCCTTCCAATAACGACACTACACTTTTTAATTTGAAATTTGTGCTCCTTGACAGAAAGACCAAAGTCAAATGGGATTTGGGCAACTTCTGATGTCTCTATGTCCCTTCCTTTCTTTTTGCTAGCAACTGAGCTAAAACGGCGTGTGTGTTTAGCCTTGAACTGTTCGGACAAACTGTGTTTCCTTTTTGTGTTCGATATTTCTGCTGCTCTTCCTACAAGCCGCTTCCTAGTCCAACAGATGCATTTTAAACCACATCTCACTGAGGATCTCCCAGCGACTCTGGACTTCTCGTAACCTCTCTGCTCTCAGCCGTCTTCATCTCTAAAATGACAGGGTTGGACTGGGGGATCTACCTCAAGGTCCGTCCAGCCCTGAAAGCTGGCCCGTCCTGCAGGAAAGCAGACTGCTCTGTGGAGCCCTGTCTGCTTCCATCTCTGAAACCCATTGATGTTCTCCCTGAGCCACGAGAACTTTTTGTGCTTGCTCTGCATTCCGTTTCAAAGCAAGAAGAAAGGAAAGGGTGTAAAGGAGAAATTTATGCTAGTAAAAAGTAATTTTTTTTTTCTCAAAATGGGAAAGAGAATTTGAGAGGGAGCCTCTGAGGGGAAGCATGGGTCCGCTGGAAGGAAGCCCCATGTTAGGACCATATGTCCTGGGCTCATAATCCTTCTCATCCATCAGTCAGGGGACCTGTGTGGGTGCCCCTCACTCTCTGAGCCACAGTTTGATCTGTGACTAACCAAAAACTAAGATAAAACGATCTTTCCTTTTCAGTGCAGAGTAGATGTGAACATGAAATCATAAAGTGCAAGACACTTGTATAAACGATCAAGCATTCAGCACACACACGGAACCATTATTACCGTAGAGATCCCAGTCTCCATTAAAATGCTAACACAAGCAAGTTCTGTGCTACTTTTATCTTTTGTGATAAAAGTGAATCTGAGAGCTGCTTTCTCTCCCTAATTGAATTATAGAACTTTGCTGATTCTCTGCTCTATTATAATACATAGGAAAGCCTTGCTCTAATATAAAGCACCATTCAGATGAGAGGTATAATTGTTATTACTCACATTTCACAGGAGTTCTTTTGTCTATGATCTGTTATCTGCTCACTTTTCAGTATCTCACAAACATGAACTCAGACACACAGCTCATTTCCATAATGGAGATTTCCCAGTGAGTGAAGTGGATGATTGCTTAAAGCACATGATTGGCTTTTTCTTTAAACATATGCATATGCAGACATGGACATGAGCCAAATTCCCCCGGAGGCAACTTGACACTTGCAAATCAAAATTACAGAAAGCCACTAACCCACCACTCTGTGGCAAGACCTTCAGACCAGATATCTCAACTACAGGAGAATTTGTCCTTGTGCCCAAAGGAATGGGCACAATACACACTCTTTCTCAGGGGCCCACAACCTATTGGTGTGAAATATTAATACACCATTGCAGACACAAATCAGACGTGTGGCTGAGCTCACTGAGTTGTCCATTCAAAAAGAAATGCTAACTTGGTAAATGATTTCCTTATAGCTTCTCTCCTAAGACCCAAGCTTTCAAGTGTCTGCTGGATGCCTGACCCTGGGTTTCCCACAGCACTTCAAATGCTCGTCAGAAATTGGACTCATCATTTCTTTCCCCAAATCTGGTCTTTCAACTGTGTTCCCTAGAACCATGCTCCCCATTCACCCAGCCTAGAAACTTGGACCTCATCGGAGGCACCTCAATTCTTTGTATTCTCACTTCTCCAGCCCTTAATTTGCTCGTCTCCTCCAGATTAGACTAGACTCTTCCAGGAATCTTTCTTTTGTGTTCCTGAACAGATTCCCCTACATACATTCCCTGGCTTCTCCAGTATGTCCTTCATGCTGCCCTAGAATTATCTGAACAAAATTCAGGGTGGGCCATGCCCCTCTTTTGTGGGCTATGCCCCTCTTTTGTGGGCTATGCCCCTCTTTTGTGGGCTCCCTATCACCTACAAAGTAAATTCCACACTCTTCAGCATAAGATTCGAGGTTATTCACCATAGGTCCTTGTGTTATTAGTTGGGAAGTGTTCATTCAGCTAGAGATAACGAGAGATACACAACTAAACATGACTTAAATAGTGAGAAACAACTGATTTTTCTCACCTACCAAGAAATCCAGAAGTCTCAGGATCAAGGACTGGTTTATTCAGCAGCAAAGCACAAGCACCCAGGAGTTTTCTGCTCTTCTACTCTGTCATCCAACACATGTTGGCTTTTGCCCTCAGGCTTGCCCTCTCTTGAACCCCACGTGGGTGCTTTGGCTCCATCACATCCTCCCCCATATAACCATGCAGGAAAACTACATTCCTTCTTCTGCGGGAAAACCTGCTCATGAGCCCCTAGCCGATCTCCCTTATATCTCACTGACCACAATTCTATCATGCGCCATACCTACCAATCATGGGCAAAGAGAGAGAATTATGGTATTTGACTTATACAAGTAAGTATTCACACCTTGAAATCAGGATTCTTCCCGCCAGAAAGAAAGGAAGTGGGGAAGGGGGTTTGGTGGCAGAGGCCCCTGTTAGGATCTGCCAGGGTTTGTACCCAGCACTTAATCCCACCCACACACCACTGGCCCCTGGCCACCGGAATGCTGTCCAGTCTTCAGAACCTAGCCCGTGTTTTCATGTTCCCACGCGTACTCTCTTTCCTTACTATCACCTGCAATTCCTGGTTCCGCCTCTAGGGGCGCCTCGCAGTCTGGTAGGGGGAGCTGTTTGGGGAATTGAGGGGTGGGAAGCTGCCGCCAGGCTATGCGTTTGTAGTGCCTGCCTCGCTTTTGTTTCTGCCCCTGGCACAGTCCTACATGGGCCTTCCATTACTGTAGACCGTAAGGGCCCTCAGTTAGCCGGTCTTGTCCTTCCCGTGGCACTTAGAACCGAGCGTGGACTGGGACGGTGACGTTTGCCAAATGACGCTGCCTGAGTTACCATTCCCCGTGTTTGACTTACAGGTCTGTGCCGCTAGCGTCGTCCCCCAAGACGGTGAGCAGAACGGCCTTATGGGGAGAGTGGACGAAGGTGTGGATGAATTTTTCACCAAGAAGGTGACCAAAATGGATTCCAAGTGAGTTCAGAGTCATTCTGCTAATAATACTGCTTAATGCACATTTAAATTACTAAGTTGCCATGAAACTTACCATGCCAAGGCTTGTTTATCTTATTTTATATATATTACATAGGGTTGACTATTCTGATGGTTTGCAAAACGTGATCTCCAGGCCAGCGATCTCACTTGTCAACTGGGAAATTATTAGGAATGCAGATTCTCAAGCCGCTACCCCACACGCATAGAATCAGAAACTTGGGATGTGGGGCCCAGCAATCTGTACTTTAATAAGCCTTCCAGGGTAAACTGAGGCATGCTCAAGTTTGAGAACCATTGTCCTGTTCTAAAATAGAACACACCCAGGTTTTTTTTTAGGGTTTTACCACCGGCACCTGGGATGACTCTATTCCAGAGTGGTGAACTTTGAGAGCTAACATTACTTGTTTCTAAATTCTCCTCACTGAGAATTTGGTGGGGGATGGGTGGGGGGCGCTGTATCGCTGCTAAAATGGCACGTCTTCAACAGACAGTGTCAACATGAAGTTGTCTTATTTTCTTATTCGTAAGTGGTGTTTCCTTAAAAGACAGTCCTTTTATGAACTTCTATTAACAACTGTTTAACCTGGAACACTTCCAGCATTAAGCAGGATTTGTACCGAGTTATTTAATCCCCAACCAAAATGCAGATCTATCCCCAAATACACTCTGAACATGGATTTGTGTCTGCGGTATTCTTCACCTGGGGATAGCAAATTCAGGAATGAATTGAAACCATAGCGATAAGCCGAGGGTGGGAGGGTGGGCAGGCCAGCACAGGTAGGGAAGAAACTGGTCCATTCCATAGATTGATGTGCCTTATCTTGCCTCAGCAGGATGGTGAGGTGGAAATAAGTGAAGTTTTTATATCCATACCAGTATAACTCACTGCACGTTAGAAGCTTCAGGACCCAGTTATTTGTCTTCTTTGACACTGGCCTTGAAGCTTGGCATCCGAGGAAAGATTCCATGCTCCCATTCTTCAAGAACCAACCTCAATGTCATTTATTCTTTGAAGCTGTCTCAGGACTACTCTGTCCCCACCCCCCAGATTAATTGCTCTTTCTCTGCTGCTGACTCAAAGCTTTTTTTTTTCATCCTCTGCACCCATCTGTTAGAGCACACATAATCCTCTGAGCGTTTCTTCTATTTTAAATTTTTTTACGGTATGAGGAATGGACGGATGTACTCTCAGTGTAAAAGATTCAGGCAGTCTGATGTGCCAGCATAAACAGAACAAAATGGCAAAGTCCCTTTTAATGATGTGCTCAAAAGTCATTTGTCCCCAGAGAAGGCTTGTTCTTCAGAAGCATCCCCCAGGTCTTACTGTTCATTGTAACTTGAGCGTCTGACACAGCCCTGTAATAGAGAGTCTGTCTTCAGTCACAATTGGTTGAATGGATTTAGACGCCCTGTATCCCCACAAACTACAGACACCGCTGGGGGCTCACCTCCTCCTAAATTTCAGAAGTTGATGTGTTGTTAGTGGAAGGCGTATGCATGCTTGGTCTGAACCACTTACACCTGCCCCCGTGTCATTTCCTGCATCCTTATGATGCCTTCTTCTGTGACGGGCTCTGCAGGAAAGTTAGGTGAATTTTAGAAGGTATAAAATCCACTTTCTACAAAGATACTGCTTTGGGAGTATGTTCCAGGGCACAAATAATAGAACTAGAAATCGATTTTCATCAAATAATGATGGAATCTACTAGAAGTTTTGATTTTTTTTTTTCAATTCTTTTTTGTTATATAAAAACAGACTGTCAGTTTGATGTGTAAAGGGCTAGGCACGGGTAAAATCTGCAAGTTGTATGAAGAACATTTGCAAATCAAAGTTATAAATGCTCCTAGTTTAAAACACCAGATGTTCTACAAGGCTCTTACCAAAAAAACCCCCAAAAAACAAAAAAACTCTGTTGTTTCTTTCCTCACTCCCTATTCCCCAGAGGCAATTAAATTAATTCCTATGCCTTTAGCTGTTTATTTTTTTATTTATGCTTCCGTATTCTTCAGTAACATTTTTTGCTATTTCCTGTTTTTCAGATTTAGATAGCAAGCATGACTGTTAGCTCCTCACTGTAGAGAATGATAATTTAGCTCTGATACATTGTGACCCTACTGCCCACCACACACACACACACACACACACACACACTCTCTCTCTCTCTCTCTCTCTCTCTCTCTCTCCCCCATGTGAATATTCATGGCTGAGTTACACCATCTTTGGGTTTGCTCTCCTTTACAGCCTCTTAGGTTCCCTGCCATTAATAATCATCCCCTTCCCGTTTGTTTACTTTTCTGTATTCCTGTCCCTGCCATATCCCATATCTCTCTAAGAAAGGAATAAATCTCCTCCGCATTTGTTCAGGTATCCTCCGTGTCATCTCCTGCGACAGACAGACATAGCTCACTGCTGCCTGACCGACTGCGTGTGGCATTTGGGCCCATTTCCCTGCCGTTACCCCCACCACCTCCCATCTCTTTCTGCTGGGGGCTTCCCTTGGCCACATGCCTGTGTCCTTTCCCTGTTTCCTTTGGCCTGTGTTTTCTCCTTCCTCCTTTGACTGCCTTGTTTTGGTGAACGACCTCCTCCGGTTGCCTCCTGAGAAGGGCAGCTTGGGAGGGGAACATCTGAGACTTGTGGATCTGTCTTTCGTTTTGATTAACAGTGTGACTCCGTATAGAATTCTCGATTGAATCCATCTCACCTTAGAATTTTCAAAACCTGGTCCCATTCCTTTCTAGCTTCTAGTGTTGCTGTAAGAATCTGTCTGTCGGGGAGCAAGAATACCCTGTCCCCTTCAAGGTCCTTCTAGCTGGACTAAGAATCAAATTGACATGAGAAAGATTAACAGGAGAGAATCAAATATAATAGTGTATGTACAGGGAAGCCACACAGAGGGGAAATTCCAAAGAGAGTCAGGCAAAATGAGGCACATATGTCGTTTTGAAGTAAGGAGAAGGCGACAGGGGTCTGGGACTTCAATGGGAAGGAACGCAGTTCTCAGGAAGAGTAAATGCTTGGTTCACAAATGTCTGCTGAGCCACTCAGACAATGGGACATAGAGGCCTGGTCCAACAGGCCTTGATAGGTTCCTCGCCACCTACCACTCCTGGTTCATAGCGTAATGTAGTTCTCAATGCCCACAGCTCTCTTCCTGGAGCAGCCCCTCTATCTAAATTCTTCTAGGCAGTCGAGGGGGGATGTAAGGAGTTTTTTCCTGAATCGGCTGGGTTTTGGTGACTTGTTCACTCAAAATAATCTTCGTGCCAAAGCAGCCCATCTTGAGGCAGCCTGGCCCTGGCCCGTACAAATCCAGTGTCGTCATGAGCCCTGGTCCTTTGTTACTTGTTTTTGTTTTTACTCTTTTTCTGGAAGCGTTTGGGATTTTCTCTTTGTTCCCAGAAATTTATGATGATTGGCTCTGGGTAGGTTTGCTTTGTTTTGTTTTTGTTTTTTTGTTTGAACCCCTTTGCTAGGCCCTAATGAGCCATTTCAATCTGCACATTCATGTGTTTTGGTTCTGGGAGTTTTCTTGAATTATTTTTTTCATAATTTCTTCCCTTCCTTTTTCTCTGTATTCTTTCTCTAAAGCATCCATTATTCAAATTATGTGTTTTCTCTATGAATCCCTAGTTTTTGTTTTGTTTTTATCTCTCTCATTTTCTCATTCTTTCTGTTACCCACCCCCTATGCCTTGCCGTCTGGGAGATTTCCTCAGCTGTATCTTCCAACCTTGAGTTTTACCTCCTGCTATCACATTTTCCTATTATGCCTGTTTGATGGTGCAACAGTTTTTTGCTCCTTCATTTGAAATGAGATAAGACACTAGTGAGCTTGGAAGTTGGTGTCTTAGAGGCAGTGAGGCCCTAACGGATGCCCGGAGGCCAGCAAGGAGGCGGCCGTGGGCAGCTGTGGGGAAGGCCAGAGGTCCGTCCTGGCCGCGTCCACGAGAGGCCAGATCCCACCAGACAGGCCCACGACGGCGGTGCCACGACGGGAAAGCCCTGAGCAAGTGGGAAGAAAAGGCGGGAAACCCTGCTTCCCCACACCCAATAATGAATATTATACTCTCTTGTTAACTGCACATAAAAGGTAGAACCCCAAACCCCCGCACATAGCTCGCTGTCTCTTAAGCTTATCTACTCACATCTCGAGAATATAATTTATTTTTTGTTTTGTTTTGTTTTTTTAAAGATTTTATTTTTAAGTAATCTCTCCACCCGATGTGGGGCTTGAACTCATAACCCCAAGATCAAGAGTTGCTTGCTGCACCCATTGAGCCAGCCAGGGTCCCCTTGAGAGTGTACTTTTGGTTTAATAAACTTTCCTGCTTATGTTGCTTATCCACTGTGTTGTGTGCCTGTCCTTCAGTTCTTCCTCCTGATGAGACCAAGAGCATTCCAGGACATCTTTGGGACAGGCTGGGTCACGGGCCCAGGGTCACCCCAGTTCACCCGGCAACAAGTAGAGCCTGTTGACTGGTGGCCTTCAGTGTAGGGTACCCTTCTTGGATCATTTTGTTGGGCAAGGGTCTCCCTGACTATCTGAGTCTTTGGGTCTTTTCTCTTGCGCTTTTGAGAAATTTGATCTCCTGCCTGGAGGGCATAAACCTGGCTGCCCTATTCAAGGATCCAGAATGACAGAAAGAGCTTGTGAGTGTCACTGTTCCAATATGCAGGCTTTCCTGTGATTGTAGGGGAGGAAAAATAATTTTCTCTCTACCCTTCTAGGTTCCTGGCTGAGATACTCCTGTGAAAGACGGATTAACAGGAGAAAAACAGAAGTTCAAGAACAAGGGTGCTTCCTATATACGGGGGAGAGACTCAGAAAAACTGAGTAGCTTCCCAGAATGGCTCAAGCCACCACCTTAAATGCCATTTTCAGCCAAAAACAAAAGACACAGGTTGCGATGGGGGGCAGGAGGGGCGTGAGATAAGTGTGGGGAGGTTACCGGGAAAAGGTCTCTAAACGGGGTAAGGGTGTTACACAGATTTAAGTCCATACCTTCTCCGTTGATAAGCCTCTAGAGATTTAGTTCTCCTCCTCCTCTTCCTGCTACTGAGAGGAACACACCCTTGTAAATGGAGATTGCTCTTATAAACGGCTCTTCCCAAAGGGCGACTTCTCAGTTCTCAGAGCTTCTCCAGCATCTACTATTTCTTTTTATTTTTTAATTTTTGCTCTTCTTGAGCTTAACCTTGATTTTTATTTTATTTTTTTAAGTCATTCCTATTTTATTTACTTTATTACGTATTATTTATTTTTATTATGTTCAGTTAGCATCTGCTGTTTCTTAATCAGCCTAAATTAATCCTTGTGCCAAAGAGGTATATTTTGGGATGCCACGGTCTGCTGCCCCTCACCCTCCCCGGCAGGTAAACTTGGGCGCGAAGGGGCAGTTTTGGTCTCTGGTTTGGGGAGAGGACCTGCGGTTTGGTGGATGGGCTCTGGCTCTCTCCCTCTGTAGAGCCCCCCTTCACTTCTGTTCCCAGAGGCGCCTGGAGCCCTGTGCAAACCCACCGCCTCTCGTCTCCCCCACCAGCGCTTCAGGGAGCAGCTTTCTACGTCTGTTGAGTCCATTTTCACTCACAGTTGTCTTGGCTTCCAGACTGTGTTGTTTTGCCTTTCTTCTGCTCTGGGGCTTTTGCCTTTATTTTTTTTCTTTACACCTTTCGCCATGGTTTCACAGGGGACTCAGAGGAGCTAATGGGGTCTGTGTCTTCCATCTCTAAGTGAAAGGCACCAGGGAGACCTCCCATCGGCCCCTTGGACTTGCTTTTTCCCCTACCCATTCCCCCGTTCCTGAATATTGTCTTTCATTCCTGAACATTCTGTTTTGTACAACTCTCTACCAAAGCTCACTGTCCCTGTTGCCTCTTTTAGTGGTATTACATTTAAGCAAGAACCCACATCTTTGTTTGAGTTGAGCGTTAACGGTGGGATTTCAGATGTGATCTAGTGATTATGCAAGGATTTTAGGTGGCCGTGGGGAAATCTGGCCCTTTCTAATGCCAAATTAAATAAGGCCATCCCCCACCTTTGTCTTTGAGAAGCCAGCTTTGCTGGAAGTTCTTACAAGTCGAGAGGCCATTGACCAGAGCGTTTAGATACAGAAATACCTACCCCTTCAGGTTTCCATTCTTAACTGGTGGTACCTCCCTCTCCTGACCTGTGACTATGATAACATTCCACATTTCTATTTATCAAGGGCAAAGACTCAAATTTTTTAACTGCTTCGGAATGGCTGCTAGAGAAGCAATCACCTCCGTATTTGTATTTTGACTGATTCTGGCTGGAGCTTTAATTACAGAAAACCCATAGTATTTGTTCTTTCAAATCCCAGGAGATCATCAGCAAGAGGCTCAGAGTCCCACGAGCTTAGCGAAGGAGGAGATGAAAAGAAAAAGCGAGACTCTCGGAGAAGCGGCTTTCTCAATTTAATCAAATCTCGGTCCAAATCTGAGCGGCCACCCGTGGTCTTGACGACGGATGAACCATCTTCACCAAAGGGGGCCATCAGAAGTCCGGCCACAGACACCCCCAGGAAGGACGCAAAGCCCGCAGAGCACAATGGCAGTTCGGAGCGGACAGAGGAGATAAAAACCCCCGACTCCCTTGAGGAAGGTCAAGGGGAAGACGTGGGCAAGGTGGAGCGGAGTGACAGCAAGAGGAGTCCGCAGGGCGGGCGGAGGTACGGCGTCCAGGTGATGGGCAGTGGTCTGCTGGCAGAGATGAAGGCCAAGCAGGAGAGGAGAGCAGCCTGTGCGCAGAAGGTGAGGGTGGGTCCCTTCTGATTCGGTTGTCTGTGTGATTTGCCCCCTCTCGGTTTTTATGGGCGAGAGAGGTACAGAGCTAGCCTGTTCGATGAAGGAAAAATCCAAATCCAAAAGCCTTTTTCCAAAAGAACCCAGAGCACAGACAACAAGGGCAGGGCCGTGTTTTCCCTCCAGCATGAGGGCCGGGTCTTCGGAGCCACAGTGTTTGAAGGTAAGTCATTGGCTGAGACTCTGCCGGCCTTTCCCCACCTGCCGAGGTGCTTTCTGTGTGAGTCAGGAGCCTGGGAATGCAGGGAAATGCTCAAAGCTGGGGAGAGGACCAGTCTGTTGAATCCAAAATGAGACCTGAGCGTGACCAGAAACAGAACTGACAGAGGCTAATAAAAATACTGAAACCATGGGGGTGCCTGGCCGGCTCAGTCAGTAGGGCGTGTGACTCTTGATCTCAGGGTTGTGAATTCAAGCCTTGTGTCGAGTATAGAGATTACTTAAAAATAAAAAAAAAATCTTAAAAAATACTGAAACCAGATTCTAATTATATGAAAATAGATCTGCTTTTCAGAGGGTCAAGGTATTCTGTTAGAATTAATTGAATACTTGGTCATTGAGATATATTGTGGATTGCTATGAAGAAAAAGTTGATCGTTTCAAAATTGCCAAGTCCCCCCAAAATCTGACTTAATATATCATTTATCCTTCGAACATCTTTTAAAGTAGACATTGTGGTTTTTTTTCTTCCATTATCTCTTCTTTTTCCTGCAACTATTTGAAAGATTATAGCTTTATTGTGATCACTAAGTTCATCATACCCATGTGAACCCAGGTTTTGGGTATAGTGCATGAATCTGAGCTCTTTTTCACTTGTATAACTGGGTTTCCCAAAGAAAGGAAAATTGCCCATCTGTTTTATTTAAAGTATCAGAATAAAACAATTCACCCCAATGAACCCTTGATTTTTAGAAAGTTACTAGTAAACTGTATTATAGACCAGGGTGTGGAGGGTTGTTTTATATGACTTAACAACTGATTATTTTTTCATTAATTCCTGTATCCCATGTGACTTTACAACTGTTCACCATAGTTTCTCCACCAGCACCATAGTTATCCAGCAGTTTCCCTGTGACAGATCTCTCCTAACTTATTCATTGACTCTTACGGAAGGTTGAGGAGGGTGCAGAGGGGGGACCATATAACTGTATTCTGCCTATTCAGCAAGGCAGGCACGATGTGGCCTTCACTGGTCAGAATTCTGAATAAACACTGACCACATTCACTGGTGAGTCAGATGCCCAAGGAAATGTTTAAATTTCAATCCATTTTATAGAATTTCTTACAACAATGAATGGGCTATTTTCACTAACGAGCTGTTTATTGCTGTTTATTTTGTCACTGTTTTCACTGATGAACAGCTGCTCTTTGGTAGAAAGATGGGAAGTGCTAGAGGGTTTTTCCCATGTGCTTTGGATTGGTTACATAAATTGGCTTGGAGTGACAAAATTCCTACGTTTTAGTTCTTAGTTGTCCAAGGCTTATTATAGTAATGAGCTCCTAGCGCCATCTTGTGTCTATTTAAAACAACATCAATAATAAAAATCCTTAGGATTTTTCCCGGAGATGTTGTGGGTTCAGTTCAGATCAACACAATAAAGCAAATATCACAAAAAAGCGAGTCAGATGAGTTTGGGGGTTTCCCAGTATGTAGAAAATAATGTTTACACCATACTTTATTAAGTGTGCAACTGGCATTGTGTCTAAAAAAACAATGTACAAACCTTACAATTTTAAACTATTTTATTGATAAAAACTACTAGTGATCATCTGCGCTTGCTGGTGGAGGGTCTGGCCTCCACGTCGATGGCTGCTGCCCGATGAGGGTGGTGGTTGCTTAACGGGGGGCTGGCTGTGGCAATATCTTAAAATAAGACAATCATGAAGTCTGCCGCATTGATTGACTCTCCCTTTCACAAATGATTTCTCTGTAGCAAGCAATGCTGTTTGAGAGCATTTTTCCCACAACAGAGCTTCTTTCAAATTGGAGTGAATCCTGTCAACCGTGCTGCTGCTTTATCAACTAAGTTTCTGTTATAATCTAAATCCTCTGTTGTTGTTCTGATAATCTTCACTCCATCTTCCCCCCGCCCCCCCAGGAGTAGATTCCATCTCAGGAAACCACTTGCTTCACTCCTCCGTAAGAAGCCCCTCCTCATTCGTTCAGGTTTGCTCATGAAATTGCAGCAGTGCAGTCCCCTCTTGAGGCTCCCCTTCTAGCTCTCTCACTGTTTCCACCACATCTGCAGGGACTTCCTCCACTGGAGTCTTGAACCCCTCCAAGTCCTCCATGAGGGTTGGAATCAACTTCTTCCAAAGTCTGCTCATGTTGATGTTTTGACCTCTTCCCACGAATCAGGAATGTTCTGAATGGCATTTAGAATGTCGAATCCTTTCCAGAAGGTTTTCAATTGACTTTCCCAGATCCATCAGAAGAAGTACTATGGCAGCATTAGCCCTACAAAATGTATTTCTTACGTAATAAGATTTGAGAGTTGAAATGACTCCTTGATCCGTGGGCTGTGGAATGGATATTGTGTCAGCAGGCGTGAAAACAAGCCACAACACAGTCTTGTGTGACCAGGTGCCTTGTCAATGAGCAGTAATGTTTTGAAAGGAATCTTTTATTCTGAGCAGTAGGTCTCAATAGTGAGTGAAAAATTTTTTTACTGAAAAATATTCAGTAAAGCATGTTATGAACAGATGTGCTGTCATCCAGGCTTTTTTGGTCATCCATTTATAGGGCACAGGCAGAGTAGATCTAGCATTATTCTGAAGGGCCCTCGGATTTTTGGAATGGGGACTGAGCATTGGCTTCAGCTTCAAGTCTGCAGCTGCATTAGCCCCTAAAAGAGTCAGCCTGTCCTTTGAAGCTTTGAAGGCAGGTATTGACTTCTCCTCTAGTTGTGAAAGTCCTAGATGGCGGCATCTTCCAAAGGAAGGCTGTTCGTCTATACTGATAATCTGTTTTCTAGTGTAGCCACCTTCATTCATTCTCTCAGATAGATCTTTTTTTTTTTTTAAGATTTTATTTATTTATTTGAGAGAGAGAGAGCACGAGAGGGAAGAGGGTCAGAGGGAGAAGCAGACTCCCTGCCGAGCAGGGAGCCCGATGCGGGACTCGATCCCGGGGTCCGGGATCACGACCTGAGCCGATCTTCTGGAGAACTTGCTGCAGCTTCTCCATGAGCACCTGCTGCTTCACCTTGCATTTTTCTCTTCTGCAGCTTCCTCACCTCCTTCAGCCTTCATGGAATTGAAGAGTTAGGGCCTTGTTCTGGATGAGGCTTTGGCTTAAGGGTGGTTGTGGCTGGTTTGATCTTCTGTCCAGGGCACTCAAACTGTCTCCATATCCACAATAAGGCTGTTTCACTTTCCTATCATTCATGTGTTCACTGGAATAACACTTCTTATTTCCTTCAAGTACTTTCCCTTTGCATTCACAGCTTGGGTAACTGGCCCAAGAGACCTGGCTTTCAGCCTTTCTCAGCTTTCTGCATGCCTTCCTCACGAAGCTTAATCATTTTAGCTTTTGATTTAAAGGGAGATGTGTAACTCATCCTTCACTTGAACACTTAGAGGCTATTGTAGGGTTATTACCTAGCCCCATTTCAATATTGTTATGTCTCAGGGAATAAGGAGATGTGAGGAGAGGGAGAGAGACGGGGGGCGGCGGGGGAGGGACGGCTGGTTGGTGGAGCAGTGAGAACATGAACCACATTTATCAATGAAGTTCACTGCCTTATATGGGCACGGTTCATGGCACCCAAAACAATTAACGATAGTAACATCACTGATCACAGATCACCGTAATAAATAGAATAATGAAAGAATTTGAAATATTGTAAGAATTACCAAAATGTGCCACAGGGACATGAAGTGAACAAATGCTGTGGGAACAATGGTGCTGACGGACTTGCTCAGCACAGTGATGCCACAAACCTGCAACTTGTAAAAACAAAAGCAGTATCTGCAAAGTGCAATACAATGAGGTATGCCTGTATTGAAAATTCAAACCAGTCAGCAGTATTCTATCAGAATAATAAAAAATAGGAAAGGTTTTCAAAACTTAGTATGTATAAGAAGGGACACCGGGGTGGCTCAGTCAGTTAAACGTCTGATTCTTGATTTTGGCTCAGGCTGTGATCGCAGGGCTGTGGGATCGATCCCCCTGTCGGGCTCTGCGCTGCCTGTGGAGCCTGCTTGAGGTCTCTCTGCCCCTGCTGCCCCTCCCTCCCTCATGAGCTCTCTGTCCTAAGGAAAAACAGTAAAACCCCCCCACAAAATTAGTATAAGAATATTTTCCCCTAAAATGACTATATTATAAAAGTAAGCAGCATAAGCACCAGTGGTCAGTATACTATTGGTAAAATTTATGGCGTCTTCACTCTTCTCTTGAATAATTTTCTTTACACTATTCACATTGAATACATGTATTTAAAGGAGAAGAACCGTGAAAGTGAAGACGTGGCCCTTCTCGTTTATTAACAAAGGCGAGTAACAAGTACCGAATATGTAGAGCCCCATCTTTTCTTGGGGGGGCCACCTCGTCCGCTGCCTGCTCAAAGACAGTGGACGTTACAGTATTTTATCCTTATTCCACACAGGCGTTTTTGATATCCGTTAACTACCTCAGAAAGCCAGGAAGGAAGAAGAAAACACAACTCCTCAGATTATACTTGAAACGCAGGCAAGCGAGGCGCCGAGGGTGCATAGTGTGAGGAGGCATTGGCTCTGGGGGGCCAGCCCGGCGCTCACACGCCCGAAAGCCCGGGTCCCCTTCCACTTGTGCGCTGGCGTCTTGCTTGACACAGCCTCATCCTGGCCACGTTCAAGTAGGCCACCTTCTTCACCTGTGTCTGAGCACAGGTACACAGGACCCCGCCTTCTGGAGGCCAGGAGATGCTGGGCGTGGCGCTGGCTAGGCCCCGCCCGTGACCGGCTCTGTTCCAGGGCTCGGGCGCCCCCTGCTGGTCCAGGTGGGGACTTCGCGCCTTTCTCCCCTGTGGGCTCGAGGGCTTACCTGCGGCCCTGGCGCGGGACGTCCTTTCCTTGGGATCCCTTTTCCTTAGGGACGCCAAACAGTGTGCGCATTCTAGCAGGGGAACCTGTGTGCACATTCCTTCTCAGAGACCTGCTGAGCAGCCTACCCCAGTGGAGCTTCCCTGGTCGTGCTGCGAGAGGCCGGGGCACCTGCTACTGTACCCGGTACCGTGTGGGGGAGCGCTGCGGACCAGTGTCTGGCCGTGGCCGCCTGGTAAATGCCGTAGATGAGTCAGATCCTACCTGAGTTTCAGGTAACCCCTCCTCTAGCGTCACGAATAGTGGGGAGCTGGGAAGCGGCAACAGCTATGTGCTTTTCAGGTTTGCCAGAAGCCTGGACTGCTCAGGAAGCGACAGGCTGAAGGTCAGGCCCCGGTCTCCCTGCCCAGCTGCTTTGTGGTTTGGGAGGGGAGGTAGATGTGGATCTTCTTTTTCAACAGGATGCTTAGGGCATATTAAGCAAACCCTAGATGTTTTGTTTCAGGTAACTTTTTGTATCTAAATGCCTCACTCTTAGGTAGGCTTTCTGCATCGCAAGGAAGAGCCCTAGTCCTGGCTTCACAGGTTACCGCTCCTTCCCCAAGACAACCGCGTCTAACCTCGCCCCCCTCTGCTGTCACAAAACCTTTCGCTTGAAGCTTTGGCATCTTATTTTTCTTTTTAGTTTCGATTTTTTATTTTTGCGAGAGAGCACAAGCCAGGGGGCGGGCAGACAGAGAGGGAGAAGCAGACTCCCGCTGAGCAGGGAGGCCGATGTGGGGCTGGATCCCAGGACCCTGAGATCATGACCTGAGCCGAAGGCAGACACTTCACTGACTGAGCCACCCAGGCACCCGCTTTTGGGTTTTTTAAATTAATTCTGGTGTGTTCATCCGTGACTTCCTAAACGAGAATCTTTGTCCTGTGGTTCTGCCTCAGTGGCAGGGAAGGCCCTGTCCATTATAGGCCCCTTTTTACCTTTCTTGTACACTGAAGTTGAAGAGGTTTCCCCTGCTTTTAAAATTTGATTTGGGGAGCTCAACTTGGAGGGAGGGTCCCATCAACTCACAGAGTGTCCTTGTCCCCACTGTTTGGAGCATCAGGGGCTGCTGAGCCTTTTAGGTATTCCACAGAAAAACCCCACAGGAAACAGGAACTGTCCCTTAGCCCCCTGGCTTCCTCTGAGCCCACGCGCCTGTCACCTGGGGGAAGCCTTCTGAGGAACTGGCCACACTCCGGACCCCAGAGCCCTGACTGTGAACGCAGAACAGAACCTGCTCGCTGGAGCTTTGTCCAGGAGGAGGCTCAGGGAGACAGAGGGGTGGGACACAGTCAGTGTGAGAGCAGTGAAGAGGCCATTATTTGTTGTCATTTATGTTCCACTTTGTTCTTTTTCTTACATTTTAAATAAATACGCACTTTCCCGGGGCTGTGTGCTTGAATTTTTCAGAAGCTCGGGAATGAGGCCATCTCTCAGGATTCCCCCAGCCTGGCCTTGGGCAGCACAGAACGGTTAGATGGATGTGGGGCAGGTAAGACCATCACCCTCTAAGGAGAAACACTTCCCATCTGGTTCCAGGAGTCACACGTGATTGACAGAAGAAAAATTAGGATGGGAAGGGAAAATGGGCCTCTGTGTCATGTGTTGTCAGCTTTCACCTGGATGGCCATGCCCCTCCACCTGCTGCAGCTCCACCTGGGCCGTGTCTTCCACCCCAGTAGCCGTGTACCTGGACAGGGCACCTTTGCCAGTTTCCCAAAGGGAAGAAACATCTTTGAGAAGAACTCCCAAACCGTGGGCATCTGAGTGGGGGGAGGCGGGGTCACGGCCGATGTTCAAAATCAGCCACACACGGTAGGTGGAAGGTGACCCATTTGTTTGAGATGAAGGAATGTTCTTTCCTTTCAGCATGAATATCCACTATCCTTTGTCCCTCTGACTTTTCGGGTGTAGTAAAAGAATGAGACACGTTTGATGGGAACCGAAGAGTAACTTACAAATTGAGTGTCAGAAACCTCGCTTTGCTCTTTGAAAGTCCTGTGTTGAGCTTGAGGATCTTCATGCAGTAAGAGATGTAATGTAGCTCATGTTTAACCAGCAGGGGTGGGACATTGAACCTGAAGCCATTCTCATGGTTCTCACTACATGGGAGGTTATGGACGTCAGCGTAGCTCTCCTCGCTGGGGACCCGCAGCCAGACCCCTACCTGCTGATGATTATCCAGAAACGAGGTGCCTACAGCTGGTTTTACTTGTGCCTGCACCTCGTGCCACATCTGAGAAAGATCTGAGTGCTTCCAGTGCATTCGGCCCTGCGTGCTCTCCGTCCATTAGCATGGACACGGGCATGCTTGAACTTGACGCTTGTTCTCTGTGGAGTAGTCAGGAGTGATCAGAAGCGCACCACGAAGTTCATTGCTTTTCCACAAAGAAGTGTAGTCTTCTGCCTTCATGTTTTGATTCTACAAGCGTGCTAGAACAACAACATGTTTCAGTTCTGAAATATCTCTGATGAGAAAGGACAAGAAATGGTTATAGCAGCTTGTACCAGATCTCTCCCAGCTTCGAATGACTTGTTTCACCTTTGAGTTTTAAAGTAAAGTGTGCTCTTTGTCCCCATTTTCATTGCAGTGTCTAAACTGCACCCTGGTGTTGTGGAGAGCCGCTTCGGTTTGGGAACACCCGAAAAGAATGCCAAAGCGGAGCCCAAAGTGGATGCTGGCTCCAGGTCGCGGGGCTCTTCCAGCACACCGACCAGCCCGAAGCCCCTCCTGCAGTCCCCCAAACCCAGCCTGGCAGCGCGGCCCACCGTCCCACAGAAACCGAGAACCGCCTCGAGGCCCGGTAAGGGTTCTGCTTGGCAGGGGGTGACCCCCCTCCATGTCAGGTGGCATGTGGGGCTAGCTGGATTGCGACTCCACCCATGGTTCTGGGGGCTGCTGGTGAACATGGGCACAGGGGGTCTGCAGGAGGGCTCAGAGAAACCTGCCAACAGTTTCTACAGGGACAAAGGCTGAGGAGTTTCTTTTTTTTTTTAAGATTTTATTTATTTGACAGAGAGGGAGAGCACAAGCAGGGGGAGCGCAGGCAGAGGGAGAAGCAGGCTTCCCACGGAGCAGGGAGCCCGATGCGGGGCTCGATCCCAGGACCCTGAGATCATGACCTGAGCCAAAGGCAGATGCTTAACCGACTGAGCCACTACCCAGGTGCCCCTGCGGAGTTTCTTTATTCAACACCGTGGCCCAGGGACTCAGAGACTGTCCCTGCATTCAGGCCACAGGTTAGAGGGCCAAATGAGAAGACAGCCTTGTGTTGTGTTGGCCCATTTGCAGGGCTTCATTGAGCCTTCTGAGAACTGTCTCCGGGGTCTACAGACCCTTCAGAAGGCTGCGTGTTAAGGACGGGAGGCCACAGATAGGGAGAGCGTAAGTTCTTCTCTTTTTGCCCCATAGTCTGTGAAATATTTAGGGTTTAGAACAGGGCTTGGCCAACTATGGGCCTGTTTCTATAAATGAAATGTTGGCGGCATGTAGCCAGGCCATCTGTATCCATATTGTCTCCAGTTGTTTTTGCGCTAACATCGCAGAGCCGAGTCATGACAGAGGCCGTTTGGCCTGCAAAAGCTGAGATATTTACGGTTTGGCCCTTCCCAGAAGACATTTGCTGACTCTTGTATAGAAAATCTACTGAGAGAAGAAACTTAAAAATACTAGGAATGGATTAGACTCTGCCTTTTTCTCTCCTGCAACTGCCCTTCCCTCTCAGGCCTTTTTTTTTTTTTCTTTTTTCTTTTTTTCCCCAATGGTCTATTATAAGAATTTTTAAACATATACAAAAGCAGAATGGATATCACCTCTTCACTTTATTCCCCCATAATAATTAGGCAAATAAGGGTAAAGGTACATAGTCGGATTATGCTCATCACCGTCATCACTGCTAACCGTAACACTTCACTCTGCGCCAGGCACTGTCCTACGTGCTTTGCGTGGATAAGCTCCGAATGTCCCCACCACGGATGCGCAGTGTGAGGCCCAGAGACACTCAGTTTGACAAGGCCCACAGCTGGTGTGCAGAAGACACAGGACACCCCCAGCTGCAGGGTGTCCGCTCCCACCGGCCTCCTCCCTGTGGACATGCATACTGGAAAGTAAGACACGCAGCTCATCGTAGTCATTCATCCACATGCAGAGGGTTGGGTGAAATGAGAAAAAAAGGCGGCGGCGCACCCGCCTAGACTCATCCCACCACGGGGCGTCCCCATTTTCCGTCACATACGTCTTTTGTTCACCGAGCAGCCAGCTGGTTAATGTTCGCTGGTCTCCACAGCCCATTCGTCCCTCAAGAAACCCAGTGCCCAGTCTCCAAAGCACAGCCACAGGGGGACCCTGGGGTCACCTCAGGCAGCTGACCCTTAAAGCCGATCCCTTAGAACTTCCTGATTCTGCTCAAACCTTTTTACAGACCGAAGTTTGTTATGGTGGGAAACACAGAACATTTCTTGGTGCACACAGAATATTTTCATAATAGAAAGAGTGTGGAGAATGAAGGCAAAAAAAATAGTAATAATTAAAAGAATTGCTTTAAATGACTACTCAAAAGCAGGCTGGTATTTTCGTCAGCAAGGTGTAGCTCTAGTCTGCAGGAAGGGAACGGCTCTTCCAAAATGGACGTAGTTTGTTTTTTTGTTTTGTTTCGTTTTGTTTTAAAGATTTTATTTATTTGACAGAGAGAGACACAGTGGGAGAGAGAGCACAAGCAGGGGGAGTGGCAGGCAAAGGGAGAAGGAGAAGCAGGCTCCCCGCCGAGCAGAGAGCCCAATGCGGGGCTCGATCCCAGAACCCCGGGACCATGACCTGAGCTGAAGGCAGACGCTTAACAACTGAGCCACCCAGGGGCCCCAAAATGGACCTAGTTTGTAGAGTATTTTGGCTCCTCAGTTGGGAAGTCTGAATGTCAAATTAGCTGGATTTCCAATATTCTGTCGCAGGGAGCTTCTGTTTTCAGTTTATTTGTTAAATGTGTTCATTTGTTTCTTAGCACTTAGTGTATCGAGACTTATGTTTGTTTTTATAGCACTTGCGAATTCCGCAGGCACTTTCGAATCCATCCTTTTGTTTCCTCTCTGCAGCTCTGAGAGATTGTTGGGGCAGGGAGAGCTCTTCCATACCCTGTTGAGACAGTGAAGCACGTAGGAGAGTTGAATTGGAAGGAGAAGGCTGAAAATTGTCATCTCTGTACACACACACACACACACACATACACACACACACACACACATGCCAAGTTCAAATAACCTTGCCGGCCACAGAGCAAAGGAAGGAGCACAGTTCAGGAAATCCTTTCAGTTCGAATGAAATAGCACAGCCTTTAGGATTCAGAGACTAGAGTTCTAATCCTAGCGGTTTTGTCATCATTTTCCTTCAGCAGGTCATCTATTAATCTCTTCATTTGTGCAGTAATCACCAAGGTGCTTCTAGTTCTTAAAAGTCCGTGATTCCAAGGTATTCTTAGTGGTCTCAGTCTGTATATAGGTACGTGTACCCATGTTCCCACATGTGTATGTTTGTATGTATTTCGTGACCACTTCACTGGATTTGGCAGTAGGTAGAGGCAGGAGGTTGTAAATATCACATATTTGAGAAATACCTAACATCCTCTGTGTCTGAGGCAGAAGGAACATTGAGTTCACTTAGAGTGTAACTTTCAAATACCAGCTCATTGAAATTCCGTGTCTGCAAGATAAAATTCACATCTGTGATTTTTAGAGATTTTTAACCTTTCATAAATTTTAATTATTTCCCCCCTACTGTTCGTAGATGTTACCTGCAGGAACACGAAACTTACGTTTTGGCCAGAAAAATTCTATGATGCTTTTAAAAAAATTATCGGCCATTCATATTTTAAGATTAGCCTGGCTTATGTTTTCAGAATCCAGTTTGTGGGAGTGTTGGATTCATGCGTTTGTGTCTCCCTAGAGGATATTCCAGACTCTCCATCCAGCCCTGGCTCCTGTAAAGTGGCTCTTCTTCCGCCTGTCCTGAAGAAAGTTCCATCGGACAAGGAGAGAGATGGCCAGAGTAGCCCCCAGCCCAGTCCCAGGACATTTTCCCAGGAAGGTAAGCAATGTTTCCTCTACGTTCACTTTCTCCAAGGAGAGCCATTTCAAGAGAAGGGAATTAAGCTTGGACTCAACTAATATCTTAGAGTTTAAGTCAGCATCCCTTGGACTAAACTTTTGGAATCAGAGCAGTTTCCTCATTCAGAAACTTGATTCAACGTTATTGATGACATTGGATCTTAATGAAGGACCATACACAAAGAGTGAAAACGTACCGGACACCCCAACCCAAGGTTTAACCTTTTTGTGATCGCTAGGTGCTCCTGCACTGGATCCCAGCAGGTAAGGAGGGCCTTAAACACTTTGTGCCTCATCTGGGGCTCCTTATATAGGCTTCTAGGTCCCATTATTTCCCAGAAAAGCTTCCCCTTGCTGTAAATGATCACGAGCAGCCCCCATAGGCCTGAGAGATCTGGTAGCTCCTTCTGCTTGCTCGATCATGAGGCCAAGCATTCCTTGTTCTCACAAGTGTGGCACCTGCAAGGATGCCTTCAGGGAATCATCGTATCCGGTTGGCTGCTTCTGATTTGCTGGGGTAGGAGCAGAGCAATTTAATCCTGGGACTTGGGTGCCATCTGCCAGAATCAGATCAAGAGTGATCAGGGGAGGTGAGGCATGTTTGCCTCATGCGTTGGCTTCAGCAACCCACCATTCCTCTCCCCCTACACTTCCCTCACTCTATTAAATACGCTATTGACTTTTGGGTTCTATCCTTCCTAAAGAGTAATATGATTGCCATCTCTAAACCCCCACCTATAAAGACATTCCAGAGCCACATGAGTCATTACCCATGACCAGAGGGCTCTCATTATGGTTTGGGGCTGCTTTGTTTTATTTTAGATGTCTGATGCTTTAGAATTTCTTGACCTTTCAGGCTCTGACATCTTCCTCCACTGGCCTGTTTTCTTTTATTAATGGTAGCGTCCTGTTGAAGTCATAGAAAGTATTTCTGAGTACTATCTTTATGACTTGGGAGAAAACTAATAATTTAAAAAAAAAATAAAAATAACACTGCCTGCTTTCTCCTCTCCATTCTGCAGATTCATTTGGTGGGTACAAGCTTCACTCACCTATTGGCTATAAATAAAAGAAGGTAGGGTTTTGAGCAAAGCTGATAGAACACTCAAGTCAAATAGAGCAACTAAAGCCATAAAAGGTTGCTGGTGCCTATAGTCAGTTTACGTGGAATGAAGAAACACAGGGTTTGGTGTTACAGCTACAGCCCTTGGAAGGCTTGGTGTAGCGGGCAGAACCTTCGGCGGTGCCCAGTCAGACCGAAGGGCCGGCGAGTGTCCTTACCAGCCCCTCCCCCTGCCTACCCTCATTTTAACCTTCTTTCTGCAACTGCCAACTTTACATCCTTACTTGTAAGGAAGTGTTGAAAATTGCTCTATGTTTATGAAAAGCGATGTGTTCTCGATGCCCATACGATTAAAACAGGGCCTCGAGTAACCCACCAGCCTCCTGAGCTACATGGAGCCTCTCTAGTAAAGTGAGTGAATGCTTGCATGCCCTTAGCTGCTTTGGAAAAGTCCCCTGTTCTTTCCTGAGGAACTTATTTGCTCCTCAGACATGTCAGAGCTCTGGGGTAGATGTTTGATGCCTTTGCTCACCCCCCCTTGAGAGCAAACACTGATGATGATGCATGCCCCCATCTTTCTAGTTTGGGACTGGAGAGTTTTCCCCTGGAATCCACAGTAAATTAACCACAGAGATCGTTCTGGTGGTGTCACTTGGTATTGAAATTGGACTGAAAGTATACGTGCGATCTGAGAAGAGTGTGCAAACGCCCAAGGTGATAAGAGTCCAACTTCGGTTTATTTTACCAGCTCACCGGCTCTGCCGGTCCGGGAATGATAGCCACTCGCGAGCCCTGTCTTTTTCTTTAGAAAATGTTCCTGACATGCTCATTCCTATTTTCCTGTGCATTATTCACGCTGGTTACTTCATTTCCTTGTTCTGTGCCTTCCTTTGGACTAGCATGCCCAACTAATTTCTGAAACAGGTAAATTCCTATGATTCTTCTGGATTATTCCATAGTGAATGTGGTTTTCATTTAATCCATCCTGGAATCAAAAGTGGTAACACAGGGGCCTTTTGTCAGCACCCTTTGGGGGCAGACTCGGAACTCACCTCATTTTGCACCACATTTCCATAATGTTGGCTGTTGAATTCTGTAGGTGACGGTGTATCTGCGCAGGCCCAACGCTGTCGGTTCCTTAAATCCTAAGTGGGGTGGGTTCTCTGATACTTAATTTCTCATATTAACATTCTTTAATATTAATGTCAACAGAGTTCTGTATTTGCTAATATAAAGGGTAAAATGAATCCCTTTTCCTCAGTAGTGCAAAGAGGAGATTATTACAAAAGACATTCAGATCATGACAGTGACAAGCCTTCCAGTGGAGGGAAAAGATCTTCAAAACTGTACTTCACCATTGCAGAAGAGGAAGTGAATGCAGTTGGGCACAGGAAGTCACAGCCAACAAATGGTTAGAGCCTTCGGTTATCATCCCTCACTGACCCAAAACTTACGGACTGGCACTAACAAAGACAAACTTTAATTGAGTAACTTCGATTCCAGGACCAGCTCAGGGATTATTCATACAACTGCCTTTTTTTTTTCCTAAATGGCAACAGGATGGTCCTTCCCTTTGAGGCTAAAAGTATGGACTTAAAAATCTAAAATTAGAAATTCCTAGGAGGAGGATCAAGTTACTTTGGAGTAGGGTGACTTGTCCTTTCAAATTTTTGTGATCATGTAGGTTTATTTTTTTTATTTGGGGTCATACTTCCTGTTCTCTTGATCTCTCTACTCTTCTGTTAGATTTTAATTGGGATTGGATCAGAGATTCTGAGAGTAACACAGTTTCTACCTTTCAAGAGTATTGGCCTCACACCTTACCTTACACTCTTTCAGGAAAGTATCCATAAAAAGCCAGCACTAAATGCAGACCTCACACCATGCCCACGAGCTTTCATTGGACATTTGATGACCCTTTAGTGAGACAGAAAAAGTACCAATTCACTTTTCAACCTCTGAGAACAGTTTATTCAACTTTACAGCAGTCGCTCATTGGCACCTGACTTCCATTTGACACTGTGGTAAACTTGGCGGTGTTCTGCGCAGCTGAAGATAGTCCCAGGAGACAAAAAGGAGACGGATTTCAAATCGGCTTTAATCTTCAGTGGGAAATGTTAGAGCAAGCATAGCTGATTCAGAGAGGAAATGTCTTTTCTGTGACTCAGTACTGATGATCTTGCTGGCTGATCACTTCTTATAAATTTGCCTTGAAAAATCTTTGAAAGGCAGTCTTCATATCATAAAAGAAAAAAATATAAAATATTCTGATAGGTGAGATTCCTTGGAAGTACTTTTTCCCATGAAACAGGGCACTTTTCTTTCTGGAAAACTGTATCGGGGGTTAACACGTGTTTCTGGACTCCCAGTGATGAAGCGCGTGGCCCGGCATTCTAGCTCTAACCCGAGGCCTTCATGGCCTTCTGAGAAAGTGCCCCGGATGGCAAGTCAGTGGGAGTGATCTTATTATAGGGATAACTCTTCTTTATTGCAAAAGGATAAACCATTCTCAAACTTTAGCGCTTTGTTACTGACAGTACGCCTCTCGTGACCCACCTTACAGCTTAACAACCCATTAAGTTACATACGACACCTCGAGTGGAGACGGTCATCTCTGAGGACTTCCCTTGACAGAGGCTTAAAAACCAAAACAACAAAAAGGCATCTCCTGGTCCCCCACAAGCAATAACCTTTGGAGCCAGCTTTCTTGGCCAATGCCGTTGGATGAGCCATGCGCTGTGACTTGCCATCACTAGCTAGATGATGGCGTGGACCGGATGGAGTTAAGGACACGACCCACAGCATAGGTCACATACGAACATTCTGTCTGGGCCAGCAAGTAGCACCTGCCCCACCTAGAGAAACTTTTAAAGGATTTCCTGAAACTAGTATGTGAACTATACTTCAATTAAAAATTTGTAAAATAAATAAATACCAGTGATGTCACGGACTCTACTGTGGAATCCTGTGGCTGACCCTATAATAAAAAAAAACATACACTATGACCCATTGTTTTTGTACATGAAGTTTTATTGGAACACACACGCACACACACACATGGATTTCCTGTGTGGTAGACTTGCTTATAGACACATGCTTACAATCACTTTTCTCTCTGTAAGAGATTTTTCTTTGATATTTTCAAGAAAATCTGTTATCTTCAAGCGATAGAAAAATTACATAAATGAACACATTTGTTTTCTGAAGAGAGGCAGAGTTCTTTTTAGAGTCTATTGAATCAGAAGCTCTGTCTCTGTTTTGCCTCTTTTGATAAGGTTGCATAGATGTTTCTAGAGTTTGGAAATTTGCATTTGAACTATTGTATCGGTTGACTTCTCTCACTTGATTATTAAGAAAGTACATTGATGCGATGCAGTGTCCCCACTTCTGAGAAGCCACAACACTTCACACGACACACACAGAGACCGCCCCCAGGACCACACTGACCCTGCAGGAAGGCTTTGAGCTAGAGTAAAAAGAGGCTGATGGAAGGCAAGGAATTCTGTGCCTCTCGCAGATTTTTCCATGACCTCGTTGGCGTACAGTCCTCACCGTGATGGGCTGCCTCCGCAAGTTTGATGGAATTCAACAGGACCATCTTGTATTTGCTTTTCTGCCTCGATTTAGAACCCCCAAAAAAGTAATTTTTATGGGACCTTCAATTAAAGTCATTTTATATCAAAGATTTGGATTTTGTTTTGTTAGTGCCGACTCCGACCCTTACCTGTCTTCGTCCTTGAGAACTGCAAAGCAGCCTGCTTTCTAATTAATTTTTTATTTTTTTAAAGATTTTATTTATTTAAGCAGTCTGCATTCTGACTAGTTAGTTCCTGGTTAACAAATGGCGTTTGGCAGAGTAATGCTGTTACACCGTGCTGCGACCGTGCTGCGTACGTCCCTTTAAATCTTCTGTGAGCAGCTTCGTTTATGCTAAAACAGCTTTCTTGCTTTCCTAAATCAAGTAACTGTGTAACAGACAGAGGCTGTTGTTCTCAAAGCATGCTGCATAGTTTTACCATGATTACTGTTTTAATTACGTGGCTATTTTAGTATTGACTCGACAGGTAAAATGCTGACTTTCTTTTACTGGAAGTCTCTGTCACTTTTGAATTTCACGTCCTTTCCTGTCTTGCGTTCAATGATAAGCTGTGATGTTTTCATTAGAGTGTGTCCTATTTTCTTGAAGAAAATAGTTGGTTTTGGCTTTGTACGTATCATGGTGTATCCTGTTTGCGCAGGCCATCTTATTCTGAGATTCCTTTTATATGTTACCTGCTTCTTCCATAATCCAACCTGAAGCCAGCCAATACCTGGCTATGGATTATGGTCTGTAAGCTGGTACTCTGTTCTACTTTTTTTCACCAGATCTGTGATCTACAACCCCTATATGAGTTCTCCAAAAGAAATCTAACAGTTGGTCGGCAGTTTGGGCTCTTACCAGAAAGTATTAAAAAAAAATCAGGGCCGGCTACAGAATATTATTTTTTAAGGTCATCATGTTTTCCTCCTGGGAAATATGAATGTCCGTGGAGCTTAAAATGGAGAAAAGTTCCAATTTTCAAATGCATCTCTAATTCTGAATTTATATGCACATTTTGGAAGCTTAAAATTAGCACGTGTATGTGTATATATATTTGCATGTGTGTGTGTGATATATATGTGTGTGTATATATATTATATACATATATGTGTGTGTGTATATATATTATATATATGTATGTATGCAAAGTCAAATCGTCTTCAAGAATGACAGGTTTCATGTTTGAGCCTCTCTGCACCAGTCATCGGCACTGTAGATGGGAGATGAGTGTACACGGAGTGTTTGGGTTGAATAAATTAAATGTTCACTCAGGCAAGTATTTTTTATCATTTTAATGGTACACGGAATGGCAGTAAACACGTGAATAGACCCACGTATAGAGATGCCCCAGTGCGTTAACTGTGAGGACACTTACATTGAAGAAGTGGAGTAAAACGATCTGATTTTTCTTTTTTATCCTGCATTAAAGTCAAGCATTACATCAGACTGCCTAGGAGAAGGTCCATCTGAATTAGCAAAAAAAAAAAAAGCCAGGATTTTATAAATATTTTAAAATACTTTTAAGTTTCAAGCAGACAATCTTACTCGGAGTATTCATTAGCGGGAGCTTGACCAAACCTACTTCAATATAATTGTAATTAAAATCCTAATTATATGTAATCAAATAGGTGATGCCTAAGGGCTGGAAAACAAACTTGACAAAGAACATTCCCCCTACAAAGTTGTTTGCACCAGTGCCCTGGGCTAATGAGAGGAAGTCAGGAGGCTGGGAGAGCGAGCGCGTTGGCTACTCATCTGATTCCGGTTCCCTGAACTCACCTGCTTCGGTCTCCTGTCCGTTCTCCGGCCTCCCTACAACGCCAAAAAAATGCCAGCTAGTCCCATGATCACAATCACAAGTGGTAGAGTTTAATCAATGATTTTTTTATTTATTTGAGAGAAAGCATGAGTGGGGGTGGGGGGAGGGGCAGAGGGAGAAGCAGGCTCCACGCTGAGCAGGGAGCCCCACACGGGGCTTGATCCCAGGACCCTGGGATCACGACCTGAGCCGAAGGCAGATGCTTAACTGACTGAGTCCCCCAGGTGCCCCTAGAATGAATTTTAAATAGTGTCACTGCGTTAGTGAACTGTTTTGTTGGGCCTCTAGAAAGACCATGTTACTCCTCTCAAGGACTTTGTTGGACAAATTAAAATTTGTGCCTTCATGACTGGTATTGGGTCTATGTCACCAACCTAAATAAAACCCAGCCTGTTCACTTACTAATGTTTGCTGTGTCCTTCTGTACCTCCCTCCCCAACCCTCCCCGCCCCCCCAGCCCTGGAGGACTCAGAATCAGGTCACTTGGATGTGGATTGAAGGACACTGAAGGACACTGCTTTCTGCAGGAAGATTCCTATGTGGGATCTCCCTGAGTTTCAGTTAGCTGCGCCCCATCGACCTTGGTCCATGGTGCTCTCTGTTTTTACTTTTGTTGTAAACATTGTTGATGGCATGAATTTCTCCATTTTTAGAGTACTCTGGTGTCACAGAACATGAATTAGGCCTGGGATTTTGAGGAAGCTAAAATACTGGGAGGGATGAATAGCTTTTGAATCTAAGACTTAGAGCAAATATGTTTGCTCTCAAGACAAATAAGTAATGTATCACCATGTGTATTTCTTTTTTTGAACCTATAGTTTCGGAAATTTGTTTTTGAGTCAGTTGATACATAAGAACAACTCATTTTGGTTTTAAGAGGGAATGAATAGAATTTTCTAGCAAGATTTCCCTAATAATGCTCTATTTTGAGGTTAGATTATTGCAGTGTCTTCAAGATGAAGATATTATAAATCTGCTCCACTTCCTCCTGTTCATAGCACACGCAGAAGTTGAGAATATAGAGGACCCTTCGTGAATTACTATCAGATGGATTTTGTGATAAAGGACAAGCTATATATAGAAACCTATTTTACCTTTTTCCCCCAAACCTGATTTGTTGACAACTTTCAAAGGACATTTTTTTTTTACACGATTCAAGCTAAAAAATAAAATCACTTGTGATATTTATTCATCACTTTTCCATCTGAGAATTTGCTCAAAGGTGTTGGGTAAAAAGAGGTCAAGTTTTAAAAAATTACTTATTTGGGGGATGCCTGGGTGGCTCAGTCGGTTATGCCTTCGGCTCAGGTCATGATCCCAGGGTCCTGGGATCGAGCCCCATGAGTTCCCTGCTCAGCGAGGAGCCTGCTTCTCCCTCTTCCTGCTGTTCCCCCTACTTGTGCTCCTTCTTGCTCTCTCTCTGACAAATAAAATCTTTAAAAAAAAATTACTGATTTTTATGATGAAATTTGAAATGCTTATCCTTTTCAGAACACTAGATAATTTCATTTTAATGTAATTAATGAAAGTCAGTTTTTTTATTGTCTAAGATCAGAATCTGGCTCTGACAACCAGATTGGCAAGGGAAGTACTTTATCATGTTGTGTTTTGACTATTAGGTTTCAGGAGCTTTTACTTCCTGAAAAACACTATTTAGTGGGTTAAGCATTTAAATAGCTAGTTCCTGGCAAGATGAGTTTTTAGCATAATGCTAACATCAGGCTGATGAGAAGCATCAGATAAATCCTGTCTCTCTCCAGGATTGTGTTCCTGGTTGGATCATTTGACCTTCTGAGTGATGAGGTAGCTTTTCTTTCAAGCCATACAAAGTGTGGCATTTGGTATTTTTAGCTTAAGTGGTATCTATACAATAGGCTTGGTGAATAATATGTAATAACCCTTAATAGCCTTGAGGTATATGGTACCAGTGAAGCTCTGCTCTAGTTGTAAAGAACAGGGTCTTTGAAGAGAGAGATTCCTTTTATTTTATTTTATTTTATTTAAGATTTTATGGATTTATTTCAGAGAGAGCGCATGTGCACAGGGGCAGAGAGAGAATCTCCAGCAGACTCCGCGCTGAGCACGGAGCCTGACTCAGGGCTCGATCTCAGGACCCTGAGATGATGACCGGAGCCAAAACCAAGAGTCAGATGCTCAACTGACTGAGCCCTCCAGGCTCCCCAAGAGAGAGATCCAGTTTAAATCTGGATTCCAAGTTTACAAAACCTGCCTTCCCGGGTAGTTGTGAGGAGTAGCAATCATAGAGCAGAGCGTGCCTGACATGACACGTGCCAAAGGCTCAGTTTGGGCAATTACTGTACCATCATTGCTAGACTGGGGTTTGTATGTTTTCTCGTTTTGATTTGTTTCTGGTTTTGTTGGTTTGTTTTTAATTTTCGTCTCGAGTCTCTACACGTAGTTGGTGAGTTATTTATGCATAAGGTTCTCCTGAGCCCTCCCGCCTCTCGGGGCCCCTGCATCTCACCCCGTTAATGGTCAGGCCATTGACTCTCCCTTGTTCATCGACTATAATGACATCCTTCCCTTTCTATTTCAGTTTCGAGGAAGAGCTGGGGCCAGCAGGCCCAGGAATATCAAGAACAGAAGCAATGGTCCTCCAGTAAAGATGGCCACCAAGGCAGCAAGTCCAGCGACTCTGGGGAAGAAGCAGAAAAAGAGTTTATTTTTGTGTAAAGGTCCCCCGTGCAGACGGCACAGGGTGCTCCGTTAGCCATTAGAGAGGAACCAAGGGCAACACCTCTTCTGACTTCCAGTGCTCTTCTCTTGGTGCTTTTTTCTTTTCTTTCTCCTCCTTTCTTTACTTATTTTTTGAAAACAGAAACAGACCCATTTTTGGGGTGGGGGGAATCCAAACACACTTGTTTGGTCTTCTCCCCACCCTGGGCATTTGAGTTTGAAGCATTCCTTCTATGCCTTCAGTGAATGCCAGTGACTCTCCATGTGTCCTACTTGAATTTTCTGAGGCAGCTACAGTTTGCCCTGCAAGATGAGTTTTGGGAGGTGAACAAAGCAACTGGACACATAACTCACACACGTAATACCATCGGCTGACCGTGGGGCTCCACTGTGGGTACCCGTGTCACATCTGCACTTGACTTGATAGAGCGATTTATTCTTGATGTATGCAATTGCACATTGTAAGTATATTAACAGAGCACACTAATAAATAATTTGTATAAATTATATATATTAGATCTCGGCTATGGTTTTTACATTCTCCCATGGGGAACTTCTTCCTTCCTGATGTGGAATTGTACATTTAAATTTGGTCGGTGACCTTTGTAGGACCATCAGTAAGCACAGTGAAGAACAGAGTGAAAGAGGCCCACGGCTGATGCTGCCATGTGCCCGGGTCAATGTACATAGTTGATTGGAATGAAGTTTTATGAATATTCGTGATTTTCAAAGGCCTTTAATTTTCTGTCTGCATATTAGCTTTTAATGTATGATTTGAAGAAAGAATACTTTGACACCTGTAAAAAAATCAAAACACTACTCTTTTTAAGACATTTCATAAGTACTCACATTACAGGCTGAGGTATTTTATTCATATGTATATTTATACCAATAAAATGGTTTTACAAGTGGAATTTTGACCTTCTCTGGTTACTTTTTTTAAAAAAAGATTTAGACAACAGGAGGGGCAGAGGGAGCAGAAGAGAGAATCTCAAGCAGACCCCCTGCTGAGCGTGGAGCCCGATGGGGGCTCGATCTCATGACCCTGAGATCATGACCTGAGCTGAAACCAAGAGTTGGACGCTTAACCAACTGCGCCGTCCAGGCGCCCCCTATGGTTACATTTTAAAGTCAGGATTGGCTTGTGGTAATCTGGCCTGGCCAGATGGCCGGGGGCGGGGCGGGGGGGGGCGGCGCCAGCCTCCCAGAAAATTCCAAGACAGAAGTAGAATGGCTGCTGGGAGGGGTCTGGGAGTCTTCCCATTAAGCTAAATTACAGTGATGATTTTCCTGCTTGTGCCGTGTACAAGCCCGGAACAAAGGAGGAGGCTAATTCACAGTGCATCCCAGGGATGCCAGGCTGGGGCCGAATAATCCAGGAGTCACCTCTGCTTGTTTGGGGCACAGGTGGCTACATCATGCAGGCTGACCTTCCAATGTTACTTTTCCTAAGTTTCACAATGGTCACTTGTCTACTTCGCATGTGGCCTCGGCCGGCAATTGTCAGGCATGGGTCAGGGGTTGGAGAGGAGTCAAAGTGCAACTAAAAACTGGCCGCTGAAAATTCAGGAGGAGAATCATTGACCCCTGGTTTATGAGGACGGGGAGACACCTGCAGGAGCGAAGCGCTGTACCCCATCCGGAGTATCTTGAAGGGGCCCTCAGTGCCTACCACTTCTAAATAAAAAATTTTTTAATTTTTACTACTTGAATTTCAGGGTAGTTACTTTTCTTTGTAATATTCCATATCCTATTTTATTTATATAAAATTATATAAAATTGTATTTATATAAAATCTGTATTCTGAGAAGGGGTCACTAGACCTCATAAGACTTCCAGAGAAGAATGAAGTTTCAAGCAAGGTGAGAGACTGGCTCTATGAGCTGCCCCAGGCCCCACAGGGCAGGGCAAACACTTCTGGAAATGAAAAGGAAGTGGCTCTTCTGGGCACAGATTCCCTCCTGTTGTCTTCGAAGCTGTTTTCTGTCTTCCTAAACCGTGGGTGCCCCTGAAAAATCTTTCTCGTTGGGTCCAAGAAGTGCCTAACATTTAAAAATCAAATTTATTTGTGAGGCACAAGTAGTTCTAAGAGTCGGAACAGGAGCTCAAACTGCAGTGTAAGGCATCGTCTTTGAGGCCGATGTGGACACAGGGTGGCTGGGCGCAGCTCTGGTCAGAAGCGAGAAGCCGGATGGTTTTCATCCATCAAGGTGAACAGCAGGAGGGCTTGGTCTTCCAAGAGAGAGCCTAGGAGACCGACGTAGGATGTGGGGTTTTCTTAATGGAGGCATAATTGACATAGAAGATTATATTAGCTTCAGGTGTACAACATGATTTATAATGGCATATATTGCAAAATGATACACAATAAGTCTAGTTCACATCTGTCCCTATAGTCACAAAAGATTTTTTTTTCTTGTGATGAGGACTTTCAAGATCTACTCTCTTAAAAACTGTAAATTAATTTGCAATACAGTATCATTAACCACAATCACCATGTTGTACATGGCGTTCCCGGGACTTGTTTATTTTATAACTGGAAGTTTGTGCCTTTTGACCTGAGTCACCCATTTTGCTCACCCTCCACCCCCTGTGTCTAAGAGCCTGGGTTTTCGGCTTGGTTGGTTTTTGTTTCTTTTGATTCCACACGTAGCTGAGATCACACGGTATTTGTCTTCAGCTGACATGTCACTCAGCATAACGCCATCAAATCCACTCGTGGCAAATGGCAACATTTTACTCTTTTTTACGGCTGAATAGTAGGTTTGACTATTACTCCGGCACGATGAGGTCTACAGATCTGGAGACGCCCGCCATCGTCAAGGTAGTTGGTTACGCACGGGGGGAAACACACCATGTCACACAAGGCCCCACGGGAAGCCCTGGGCTCGGTCAGGAGGCAGAAGAAGCAAGGGGAGGACATGGCCAAGAGCCTGTACTGGGATTTCCACGAGAAGGAAGAAACTAGGCATAGTGAGGAGGCTTAGGATTGGCTAGTTTGAATCATTTCCGCGGGTTCTGGAGTACTGTGGCTGTCCTGAGTCGACTGGTAGCTGGCCCAGGAGCGATGAGAGCCGGGGCGGAGGGGCCCAGAGTGTGGGCGCCCGCAGAAGACGTGGCAGGTGAGTGGGCACGGGATAGGCTCGTTTGCACACGAAGAGCACACTCCCAGGTGAAGTATGTGTACAATCTCCAGGAACTAGCTAGCCCCGGGAGGGGCGGTCCCTCCAGTCTCAGCAAGGAACCAGATGTCAAAGCCTGGGAATTACAGAAAATAAAGGCCCCAGAGGATTCCTGGCTGGAGGCGTGGTACACTCTGGGGAGAAGGTCTGCCTGCAACCTCTGAGGAGAACATCTTGGGCTCTCCTACACAGACGAATGTTCTCATGGAAATACGCCTTTGGGCATCTTCCCAGCACCCTGGCCTCTTCCCACCCCCCCCACACCCCTCATCCTCCTGCTGGGCTAGTGAGAAAGGGGCTCAGCTTGCCTGGATTTGTGGGTCCTGGGGGGGTTCTGAGGCTGAGGAGAGGAGCAGAGGGGTGGAAACCGGCACCCAGAGTGCCCTCGAGTCTGAGGGCAGTCTCCTGGTCTGGAAGGGGCTGGCCCCAAGGGGACTTTGGGCTTGGCTGGCTTGAGCCTGTCGGAGCAGGAAAAGCGATCGCTTCAGTCCTGTTGCTACAGGAGTGCCCGTTCTGGGAGGATGGCTGTGCTAACGGCGGGTCCCGAAGAGGCTCCGTAAGACCCTCTGACCATTGAATAGCTTTAAAAATAAAAAAGTCTGTGTCACTAATGAGTTCAGCTGAAAGAGGGAGGAGGAGATTACCCAAGTCCCGGGAGCACGAACATGTTCATTAGACTGATTCTTCCCGGAAAGGGCAAGCCAAAGAACCTTCCACCTCACTAAACCCGAGTTTATTTCATCGAGCCCTTGGCCAGAAGTTAGCTCGCCAGCCGCTGGTGGGAGGCAAACAAAGCGAGACCCTGAGGCGGAGGAAGGGATGTGTGGACAGCTCTGATGGCCGGCAGCCTCCCTCTTGTCGGCACTGCGGTGAAAGGACCCGCACTGACAGCCATGATGACAAACAGCAAGAACCCCGAGCGCCATATGGGGTTCCTGCAAATCTCCCGCCAGCATGCGGCTCCTGAAATTCCCAGTGTTCCGCGGGAAGGAGGGCCGTTCAGGTGGCCCCTTGGGTGGCCGGCAAGGCTAGGCCAGCGCTACCACGGCGAGGTGCCTTGTAGAAGGAGGAGGAAGGATCGATGTGCATCTTGCCTCTGTCTCTTCCCCAGTGGCGCCTGGAGGAAGAATCCTGCAGGGCTCCCAGAGACAGCATCACACAGAGCATGTCCAAGTGCAGCCGCGTCGCTGGGTCCCCAGTCGTCAGCCCCAGAATCTGGCCGCACAGCACATTCCCTCCTCCTTCCCTGACTCCTGACAACATCTGCAACACCAGCCCGGCTTCTCGCCACCCGTTATGGTGTCTCGTTCCCTTAACAGGGTCTGCGTTTGTTGAGCAGCTATTATGTGTCAGGAAATGGTCTGCGTGCTGGTCTGTCTGCTAAGACAAAGTTTCTATCCTCTGACTCATGAAGCTTTGAACTCAGGGAACCAACAGTCTAAAAAAAGAGACAAGAAATAAACTAGTAAACAGATGATGTCATTTCACATAATGAGAGCTCTCTGCGTGTCAAGGGAATAGGCAGTAATGACAGGGGGCAGGGTGGCTATTTGGATACGAGAGGGTGCTTTTTCCCCGATAATATTGTTTCCTATAAATTTATGCTCCCCCATTGTGGTGGGTGCTGGGAGGCACCACCCGATCTCGGTTTAGGAATGACAGATTTACTGCTTTGGCTGCCACAGGTCACCTTGCTCCAGGTCAGACCCCTGCCCCTGGGGCTGGTCAGTGCAAGAGTGTCAAGGTCTCAGTCCTTGACCCCAAACCAGGACAGCTGTGGAAGGTCACCCCACGTCCAGAACTCTCCAGAGCATCGTAGCTCAACTTTGCCCTCGGCCCAATCTCGATTCCTTCCTTCCTTCCTTCCTTCCTGTCAGTGTTGATCCAAGAGCTCGTCCCAATAACCCTCTTACACAACGATGTCTAACTCAGAGATCGCTTTCTGGTGAGCCAGTCTGCATCAACTTTGAACAAAATGAATTCAAAATATTTCAATTTAAAGTCGTGATGTTGAGCTTATTTAATGGACCCTACGTATAGTTCATATCAATAGGTGTGGTGGCCACCCTAAGACCCCCTGGGACTGCACACCCGGGTCCCCTCCCCTGCAGACACAGCATCCCGCTCTTTTCCGCAGGAGGGTGTGGGAGAGCAGAAGAGCTCGCTCTTGGCATTTCCTGGCCGAAGAAAGGATGCCCTCTGGGGAGAAGGTTGGCCCTTGCAGCTTGTTTAGGAGAGCAAACTAGTTTTCCATTAGCAGAAGCTGCATAAATTGGGTTCTGGAAACATCCAGGAGCTCCCCCTCCAGCTCTCCCCAGTGCCGCTGCCCCCTCTCCTTACCACTCCAGAGGAAACGGGCTGTGATCTCTTCATCAACAAATATTTACACATCTGCCATCTGCCCAGCGCCAGGCTGTGAACGTCCCGTCTCCTTGGAAACCGCACCGGGGCCAGCATTACCCAGAGCTGGCCCACCTGGGAGCCGCCCGGGAGAGCTGAGGTCTCCTGGGAACCTTTCAGAGCCGCTGGTATTGGTTTGAGTGGCCTTAATGGCTTTGGCTCGGGTTTGCCCATTTTCTTTCTTCCCGTCCCGTGGCGTGCTTCCCACTCTCACCGAGAGCTGCTGCCCGCGGAGCGCTCCCCTGGCTTCCCTGCCCCTCACTTTGCTTGTTCCCCTCAAAGGCATGTGCCAACAACATGGGCTTCGTACTCAGAAGTTTCTGGCATTTGTG